CAGGGAGTACTAATTCAGCAGGAAACTTTGCTTTGTTAATAAAACTCAGCACAATCTCCTTCCTAGAGGATCTACTATTTAATTCGGCTGTGGAGGAGACTTCCCCAGCAGGATGCAACCCAGAGCCCCTAGAATGTGTGTCAAGAACCAACTCCTTCTCCCTCCCAGCTCCGCTTCCATCCAAACCATGATTTTCATTCATTCCACCTGCACTAAAAATCTATACACTGCTTAGAGTTGTCCAAAATACTCTTAAGATTACCTAATGTCATTTTAATGTCATGGGCTCTGGTTCTCACAGACCAGGGAAAAGAGCGCCTGTCCATGGACTTCTGGGCATCACTCCCAAGGAGTGCGACCACACTTCTCCAGAAATCCTTGCAGATGCTGGGTATAAAACACCTACTTCTTCATTGTGGTCAACTGCAATGAGACAAGAGCCAGGACACATTCCTTCCTGCCCCAAGATGAGATTTCTCTCAGGTTTATCCATGATCCAAAAGGACATCTCACAGCAATGTCCCATTTCAGACTCTCCTTCTCACACTCAAAACACACCACCTGCATGTCTGATGGCTGCCACCACCCAGCTTCATCACCGTCACCTCCCACAGAAGGAACCCCCACTTCCCAAAGCCCCAAACTGCCCTGGATCGGGGCACTTACACTCCAGGGCTCACTCCTGGAGCCCCACTGCCTCGTCCCATGTTGACTTGTTCTGTGGGACATAGGGGACGTCTCACCATCTTCCTCATGTGACTGCAGCTCCTAGACCATCACTCTAGGTGTGGGTGTGTCCTGCTTTTCCTAGTGTTCCCACTACAAACATAGGGCCTTCCAAAGAGCAGAGGCTCCTTGAATGTCTGTGGAAATAATGAGCCAGTGAGCAGGGGTCTTACATAGATCAATTTTCTCCAACTTTCTTAAATAAGCCAAACGAATTCAGGTTATACACATATATTTTAATTTTACAAAATGACAGAAGAAAAGGGATAAGAAGCCAAGAATTAACTTTTGTTTCTCTATTTCCGGACCTCATTAACTGTGCTGCTAATGACTTTCACATTTCGAAGTAAATTCCTATTCCAATGCTGTGTTATCTAGTTTGGGATCACAAACTATGATGGAAGGTTTCCCAATTGGTTTTACAAATAGCAAAATTCAGTCTTGAATTGGATAAGTACAAATATATGCGATCAATACCATTCACAATCTTAGAAAATGAAGCTTATTAAATAATACTACTAATATACAGAAAACTGGTGCATTTGTATACACTAACAACAAAGTATCAGAAAGAGAAATTAAGGAAACTATCTCATTTACCATTGCATCAAAAGTGTAGAATACCTAGGAATAAACCGACCTAAGGGGCCAAAAGACCTGTACACTGAAAACTATGACAGTAATGAAAGAAACTGAAGACAACACAAACAGATGGAAAGATACATTGCATTCTTGAAATGGAAGCATCAATATTGGTAAAATGACCATACTAATCATTTCAACCTACAGAACTACAATCAATGCAATTCCTATGAAAATAACAATGCCAGGGGTTTCCAGGGCTGACAGTTGGGTCAGGCCAGATGTCTGTGGACCCCGGTTTGCTGCGGGGATTGAGCTCCCCCCAGTCCTCTCTCGGGGTCCACACCTTGACCCCGGCAGGTCCTGGGACTCCACCCTCCGCTGCCCTGATGTTTCCCCTCAGACCAAGGTCCTCGCATCCCTAGACGCCTCCATCCCCAACCACGTGGCAGAGGTGAGAGCCTGCAACGTCCAGTCAGCCCTGCCCGGGACCTCCCAGGGCTGACAGCATGGGCGAGCTCCTCTGAGGTCCCCTCTCTTCTGGGGTCCAGGGTCCCCTCAGTCCTGCCTCAGGGTCCTCACCCTGACCCCCGGCAGGACTGGGATTCTCCCCTCTGCTCACCTGAGACCCCACCCCTCATACCAGGGCCCCACTCTTTCTGGGACCCGGATGTCAGGAAGTGCTGCAAGGGGTCCTCCTGCCCTATGACCTCCCAGAGCCTACCCTGATCTGGGGCCCAGGGTCCCCTCTGTCCTCCCTCAGGGGCCTCAGCTTGAGCCCCGGCAGGACCTGGGATTCTCCCCTCTGCCCACCTGAGGCCCCACCCCTTACCCCAGGTCCCCACTCTCTCTGGGACCCGGATGTCAGGAAATGCTGCCTGTGGTCATCCCGCCTAGCTGTTGCGCACAGCTGACAGCACGGATGGGTTTCTGTGGGCTCTGCTCAGTCGTCCCTCAGGGGCCTCGCCGTCACTCTGGCAGCACCTGGACTCTCCCCTCTGTCGATCTGAGGCCTCGTTCTTTATACCAAGTCCCCAGAGTCTCTCAGACCTGATGGGAAGTAAAGAAAGGCTGCGTGTGTTCATCCCACCCCGGGGCCTCCAAGGGCTGACGGCAGGGGCGGGGATCTGTAGGGTCCCCTCTGTTCGGGGCCCAGCGTCTCCTCACTCCTCCCTCAGGTTCCTCACCTCAACTCCCCGCAGGACCTGGGATTCTCCCCTCTGCCCTCCTTAGGCCCCGCCCCTTACACCAGGTCCCCAGTGTCTCTGAGACCCAGATGCAGAAGTCAAAACTCCTTGCCAAGTGTTCATTCCGTCCCGGGGCGCCCAGGGCTGATGGCAGGAGCGTGGATCGGTGGGGTCCCCTCTGTCTTCCTTCAGAGTCCTCAGCTGGAGCTCTGGCAGGTCCTGGACGACCCCGTGTTGACCCGAGGCCGGACCCTCACACCAAGGCTGTCACTGTCCTTAGACCGCCAGGGAGAATCTATGGACAACACATCAGGCCCCCAAGCCCAGGGCTTCCCAGTGCTGAGATGATCCCTCGGGGGTCCATCCGCCTTCCCTTGGCTCCTTACCTTGACTCTCAGCTGGCGCCCGCTCATGCGTAGAGGTCAGACTGCCTCTCTCACCGCCCCACACCGGGGAGTCCTCCCCCGAGCACTCAGCGCCAGGGGCTCTCGCTTCTCGTACCCCAGACGCAGAGCCCACCCGTCTTGCCCCCGCCCACCCGGGAGCCGGAGCCCCCTAACTGCCACGAGCGTCCCCCCCCGCACCCCACGCCCCCCCCCGGCGGGAGCTCCCCTAACGCCTACCGCACCCGCGCCCGGGAGTCCTCCCCATCGCGTTGTATGATTTTCCCTTTATTGTGGTGCATTTCAACCTATAACTTGGAGATATTATAAGTGGGCAATGCATTCTTTACCTTTATAACTTTGTAAGCATTCTTTTTTTAATTTATTTTTAAATTTTTTGGCTGTGTTGGGTCTTTTTTGCTGTGCGTGGGCTTTCTCTAGTTGCAGGGAGTGGGGGCTACTCTTCGTTGCAGTTCACGGGCTTCTCATTGCAGTGGCTTCTCGTTGCGGAGCACGGGCTCTAGGCTCATGGGCTTCAGTAGTTGTGGCTCGCAGGCTCTAGAG